CTGAAGAAAAGAGTGTCGTTAAACTTCAGCGCCACCGCAAACAGGCTTTGTCCCTAACTGCTGGAACTACTGTTTAACCCTACTCGATAAAACAGATGAATCTGAATCCCCGTAATCCGTATTATCCCGAACTACGTAAGCTCTGATCTCTCATACCTGTTGAGAGTACGTAGGCACAATACTGATGTATTGGCGAGCCACCTTCCCCATAACCCGTAGTAGGTCGAACTACGTTGACTCTGATTTCTCATTCTTTGATGAGAATACGTAGGCATAAAGTGCGACGCTTTGCCGAGTCATTTTTCTTTTCTTTTTAAGCCAGCCTTGATAGGTAGATAGATAAAACCAACCCGTCAAGTAAACACAACAAGCGTGGATCCCATCGAGTACGATGGACGTGAGGGGTGCTAATACCTTCCCCTTGCGTAACCGACTCCCGAACCCAGACAATGGTTGCGATGACCTTGTCTTATACCTATTCGTCAGGTTTTTCCGATCGTTTCCTTTCCCGTTCCGAGGGATAAATAACGAAAGGTGGTGACTCTTCTGTTTTGCCGGCACCTTATTTTCGCGGAAGCGACACATAGCCCGAGTCATTGCAATGCCAGCATCTCCCAATCTCTGGCGAGTGTTATCCCACCAGTCCTCAGCTTTCTCTGCTAGCATGTGCGTACCAAACTGCACCTGTTGAGCATCAGTGCACGCCATAACTCATAAAATCTTCTCAATAACTTTTAGCCACTTCTGTGCACCATCTGGATCATGAGTGCCTATAAAAGTCGGCGGATTGTTCCTCTGGAACTTTCCCAAAGCACGAATTTCATCTGGAGGTACACCATTCTGAGACATCACTTGGGCAAGTGATTCCAGCGCATCAACAATAGCACGATCATTTCTTCCAGCCATCTGCAACCACCAATAGGGTTAGAAGAAAACAACTCATCAATAGTGTTCTCACACCATTGACTGAAAGGGGACTAACAACATAAAAACTTGGTCGGACGGACCGACCTGCTCTGATACCACTAATGTAACACCCTTTTCTACCCCATAATTATTAAGGCAAAATAACACAGATATCATAGTAAATAATTAAATTTCATAAAAAGCCACCAAAAAGGGCGTACATTTCCCAAATCAACAAAATAGGTCAAGGCTCTGTAAACAACAGGTTTTCTCAAAATAGATCAAATTGCACAAAGCAGCGAAACTCAAAAGGCATAATCAAGGTTTTCCTCATACGGGAAGATAATAAAAATAAACTCAAAGTAAAACATAATTTAACTCAAAAGACCTCAACCCGATGTTACATATCAGAGCAAGACCCTCTAAGTTAACCAAAAGAGTTAACAACTCAAAACTTCAAAAATAATCCTCGACGGCGTCCATGGCTAAACCTGGTCATCTGCACGTTACCCACGTGGAGGTAACATTCAAACAGGCAGGGTGAGTAACACGATTCATAATAATCAATGTATAAAAATTAACATATAAATGGCATCATAATCATATTCAACGCATCCATATTCATCAATAGGCCTCAAAGGCCGCAACATCATAATTCATACAAAAAGACCCATAAATGCAAAATGCAACAAGACTCAATGTATGTGGTACCAATCATCACAGCTTGATAGACAATGGGCCATCAACCCTCCATAGATCCCCATCAATAGGATCAATTCTACTAGAGAACCAGAACACATCAAATCACTTCACATCCACACAATGGGATTGAAGCCAAAGTAATCGAGGTCCTGAACCGAGTCCGGATGCACATGAATGCATGATGTACACGTCAATAATCACCCTCATAATAACAACATAGGTGCATCATCATTCATCATATTCATCATCATGTCAATCATCATCATATCTCATGTCATCATATAATTCATCAAAGTCATGGTAATATCATCATAGTTTTCCAATCAATACATCATAGAAATCATCAAGTAATCATGTACACATCACATAAAACTCACTGTCATACTCATGTTAATTCGTCAAAGAAATCACAGAATTAAACATCAATGCATCGCTGCACACGATCAACATTCGCGAAACTCTACTACATTCACTGGCATGTTCGCTAGGCGAGTCTGGGGCGAGTTTTTTCGCTAAGCGAGTCTGGGAACATGGTTCGCTAAGCGAACAATGCGATGACAACAAATTTTCTATGCACCAGAACTTAATTCTACCCAAAAGTCCACATGATTCACTTCCCCAATGCCCCCAAAACATCCTTAAATCATCCCTAAGGTCTTATGGCGATAAAGGCACAAAACCTACGGTTTATTATGCCAATCCCACATCATATTCATGCCATAAATCACAAATTTTCCTACAATTACCCCGAAGGCATTAGAGTTACTCACTATTCAATATTCCTACATGGTTAGGCAAAGGTCAAATCAGAGTTTTTGCCACAAATGCCTAATTTCCCCCTTTCCCCAATGAATTCCACAGTTAGATTCACAATAACAGATTTAGGCCAAGAAGGCCAAAGATCACAATTTCTCATATCTACCCTCAAAATCCCCTAAACCTTAAATCGACCTTAAATACGTCGAATATCATACATGGAATATCATGAAAGACTATACTCCTCATACCTTAATCTTTGATTCAAAGCCTTCACAAATTTTTCAGGGAATCTTTCGAAACTTCTGCCTCCAATCTTCTCCTCAAAGCTCTAGCCTCAATACTTATCACTGTCTAACAAATGAATCCTAATTCCTTCAGAACTTCCTTTTTGTTAAACCTAGTCTTGGGCCTCATAATTGGGCTTTTCCCATAATACCCTCACCAACTCCTTTTAACTGTCCCAATTGCCCTTATTCCTCTTGTATTTATTTTAATTCATAATAATATTAATAAATTCATATTACATACTATTATTCAAAATAAATAACCCCAAAAATGCACAATTCTCAACAATCCACAAAATCACCGAAAATCACCGAAAAATGAATATTCTCAATTAAATAAATTAATTAAAATATTCCAACTAAATTTGGGGTGTTACAGGGTTGGTCTAGGATGCCAACGCTTGCTCCAGTAAACCGGAATCCGTTTACATTCCCGTACGCCAACAAGTAAGTTTCTTTTCAAGACTATTTAGCAACCAAAGTTTCTTTGCAAGTTAATCATTTGTAAGGTGTGTCTTAGAGTCTAACTTATCGGTGTTTCTTTTTTTTAGGTGGTCTGTTCCGGGGATGAATTATCAAAAATGTCCCAGGAACTTCATAATTGTGTACCAGAACCTCATCGACCACATTGGGCCAAATGATGTAAGTTATCTACCTTTACTTTGTCTAACTTATATGTATAAACTTGTCTATCTTTGTCTAACTAAATGTATCTATCTTTATTGTAGTTTGTTTGGATGTCGTACGAGGGTCTCGACCACCAGCCCGACGCCGATGCTGCTGCTGTGTGGACATCAAAAACACCCATCATTAGGTTCACTATGGTGGAGATGCACCAAAGTGACCGGGTGAAGCTATAATTTGGGATGCATCAGGATATTCCAGATGCTCCGACGTCATTGGGGCAGTGACATCAGCAACGGATGGACTCACAGTGGATTGCCGGTCATTGAAAGAAGTTTGCGAAGGAAATGTGTCAACATTGGAAGAACAGAAGGCAACACATCTTAACCGACCATATTGTGGAAGGGGCTAGGCCATGTTATCAATATATGACTTGGTTTAGGTCGGTTACAACATCTCAACCAATTCTGTCCGAGCCAACCTATTTGATTGACCCAAGGCAACACATTTCTTCATCAAACACACAACAACAACCCAATGCCCAACATCCACAACAACAACCTTACCATAACCCATACATGCCACCATATTCCCAACATCAACAACAACAGCCTTGCCATGACCCGTACATGCCACCCACCCAATCACAACATCAATAACCATACCAATATAGCCTTGATACGTCTTTTGACCCTACCCCCTCCAACTATAGCCCAGATAACTCATTTGACCCTACCCCTTCCAACTATCCACTGTTTGACTACCAAACCCTACAACAACCAACACACCGTTTCCAACCCGATTCGATGTACGAATTCGGACAACCATACCGTCCATACTCCATCCAACCTCCCCGATAATCCTACGAAAACATGGGCATTGAGCTTAATTACAGAAGCGTCGTTGATAGTGGACCTCTCGGCTATTGGGGCCAAATGCTTCAAAATTTATCTGATACGCCAGGGTCGTCCCAACAAATCCCTCTTCCACAACTCAACACACAAAGACCGGACACTCCTCAGCAACCTCGTGGTAGACCTCGTCGCCGCACGCATTCTCCACAATGTGGCACCGGTGGTCGTTTGGATAGAGCCGACCATTAGTTTTTTTTAATCAATTTTAATTTTTATTCTATTGTAAATTAATATATTTTAATATTTATTACATTTCTTTATTTTTTAAGGTATTTAAATTCCAATTAATTATGAAAAACATAAATTATAACTTACTATTTATTCCATTTATTTTTTTCATTATTTATATTTCAATTAATTATGAAAAATAAAAAACATAATTTAATATTTTTTATATTTATATAATTTAAATTGAATTAATTATTAAAAAATAAAAATTAAATGGTAAGGTTAAAACATAAATTCGCAAATCCTAAACAGAAAAAAAAAAAAAAAAGGGGCAAGTCGCCAAATGGATTGCCGACTCCACTTTAAGATCATGACTGTGTCGTCATTTGGGATGACGAGTCCATTTTAATTAACCTGAGTCACCACATGATTTGCCGACACAAGGTTGAAATGTGACCATTTTAAAAAATTAATTGAAATTTTGATTTGTTTGACATTTTTATTAAAAAAAAATTCTCAATTTGGTATGGAAAAAAGAACATTGTAACACGGTGCGGTTGTGGTACGAACGAACATAAACGTTGTTATTGTGATTGTTATCCACAAAGAAAGACAGGCGTAGAGCAAGTGTCTCTCTCATCTCATGGCAACCTCTTTCTCTCCCACAACACCACTCCGTTCCATCTTCCAAAACCATCCCAAACCTCTTCTTCTCTCCCACTCAGGTATATACATACACTTCTTCATTTCATACCCATTTTCTACTCTCACAAATGCTTATTTCTTTTTCTCACTCTTTCTGCAGCGTCCTCTTACACCGTCAAACGCTCTTCCACCTATGCCAACTTCACACTCTCTAGGAATGGAAAACCTCTCCTCTCTAAAGGATTGTTGACCTTGCATAAAAGGTACCAAAATCATCACTCTACTAGTGTTTGTTTTCAACTTATTGTAATTTGGTTTCTTGAAATTCACAGAAAGGGAATTGTGAGGGCTGCTACTATTGAAGAAATTGAAGCTGAAAAAGCATTTATTGAGAAAGATGTTGTAAGTCTCTCGATATAAAGTTAACCTTTTGTTTTTTTTATATACATGAATGAGGGTTTTGAGTTTTTAGTATGTCTTGTGTATTCCTTCCTCAGAAAAGCAGAATGGAAAAGACTCTTGATAATGTTCGGACTAATTTCAGTTCCATAAGGACCGGGCGAGCAACCCCGGCTATGCTTGACAAAATTGAGGTATGCTTTGCAACTGCATTGTTATTCTTTTAATATGCTTCTGCTACAAAATGCATATTGTATTCAAATGGTTTTAATTTGTTGTTCAAACTTTGGGCTCAAAGACGACTTTGATTAGACTTATGTATAGTGATTGTTACTTGTCTATCATGATCCATGATAAATTTTCATTACATGAATTATGTATCTTATTATCAGCTTTTGCTTCGGTAACTTACTTCCTTTCGGTTGATTTGGGTTTCGTTTATTGCCATGTCTAATTAGTAATCATCACATTGCTCTTTTGTATTAGTGATAAATAATACATAAATGTTATTTGAAGTATTTAGCTTTATTTTTCTAGAGTTTTGCCCTGTATATGAGTTGTTTCATAATATGTTTTAGGTGGAATACTATGGATCTCCAGTTAGCTTGAAGAGCATTGCTCAAATAAGCACTCCTGATGCCAAGTCTCTGTTGGTACAGCCATATGACAAATCAAGGTATGTGCTTATGTCAAACACTTATGCACTTCTATCATTTTTCATCTGCGGCATGCTTGGAATGATTTATAGGCTTACAGAATAATTCTTAGTGAGCTCTTGGTTACCAATATTGGTTTTCAGCTTGAAGTCTATTGAGAAAGCCATAGTTAACTCTGATGTTGGTATGACTCCAAATAACGATGGAGACGTGATAAGGTTGAGTATCCCTCAGTTGACATCTGATAGACGAAAGGTATTTTCTACTTCCATTGATGGTGAAGTGTAAATTCTTTTACGAGATTTCTTGGGACTTTTTTCTGTGAATGATTATGACACTTTCACCAATTCAAAGAAATATTCTTGATCTTGTGTTAACTTATTATCAAAATGACATAGCATCATCTCATCTCTTTTATGACCCATTGAATAATTTCAATGGTTTTGTTATTCTTTGCAACTGAATTTTTACAACTACATTTTAAAGTGTGCCGATTTAACTTACAATAAAAACAGCGAAGGTTATCTCTGCCACCCTTGTATTGATGACCACCTCTACGACCATGACCACGGTCCCCCCCAATTAGTTGAATTAGAAATGAAACTAGAAGACTTGTACGTTCATTGCTAATCACCTCCAATTGAAGCTTCTATTGAGAGAATTATAAGCAAACGTTCAACGTGAGTTCCTCAATTATAGGCAGAATGGGAGATGTTGATGGCCAAGATGAGATTGGCAATGAGATCTCGTTAATTACAGCAATGTGGTATCTGCTCCTCATGAGCCTGATAACAGTCGACGGAAAGTTTGTGCATGTGAGTACATGCACTGAACTTTGTTGATGACACCCGTAGGTGAGAGGTGCTTGCAGCTTTTGAGATGGATGGGGGTCTCAATTTGGACATCGGTGAGAAGACAAGTACTGACAGCCCACAAGTGCTCGCAGCGGCTAATATGAATGATATGAACTAGAGATCTTAATGATATGAATGATTCTATCATTCTTTACAAATGGATTTGTGCAACTATATATATGTTCTGTGATAGAATCAGGAATAGGAAATGAGGTATGAATGAGATCTTCCGGTGCGGCGGTGAGTCTTCTGGTACGGTGGAGTAGGCTAGACCTGCAAGGTTAGGACTCCAACGCCTAAGTTAGTGATGTTTTCGAAAAGTATTTTAGAGCGAGAGTGAAAAAGATACCTGAAACTGGCGCGTGTGAAACTTATATAGGATGAGCGATTAAAACCGCTCCCGCTTAACCTGACGCATTGTGCGGATCATCGTTCGATTATATCTGACGGTGGGAGATAGGCCAGAGGCTGGGATCACATGCTTTGTGCTTGGCTGAGGTCTAACCTGTTTCCTGCCTTCCGTGTTGTGCCCCATGTTTGGGCCTTTGTCATGGGTCTTGCGAACAGCCCGAAACAATAAACAAGAGAGAAAACAGGAACCCCTCAAAGATTAGGAGCAAATGAATGTTTACTACTATATACAAGAGAGAATAAATACGGTTATAATCACAATTCACAATCAACAGAAAAAACCCATGAGAAAGTGGATTTGGCAAGGAAATTTTTTTTCAAGGTTTTTCGTGCCATAATTCAAACAGAGTTGTTTCAGTTATCCATTTACCTTTTTATGAAACTGTGCCATTTATGATGGTTCTTTATACATGCATTATATGAATCTTTTGAAGGTCTATACAAATATATGGATTTTGTGATGTTTGTTGAATAACTTAGTTGGAACTTTTTTTGTTTCCCCTTTTCAGGAACTAACCAAGATAGTGTCTAAACAAGTTGAAGAAGGGAAGGTATGTTTACAAAATACTAGCACTTGTTCATATAGCTCTACATGCCATAACTTTCCTTTTAGTAATTTGGCATGTTCACTTCTTTAATAGGTGGCTTTGAGGAACATAAGAAGAGATGCTTTGAAAGCTTATGAAAAACTTGAAAAGGTTTCAATCCTTGAATTGCTTACCTTTCTTACTTATCTTAACTACATTCAGTAATTCCATTCTACCTTTTGTTAATCACCGTTGAAAATTTCGCCTAGGAAAAAAAGCTCTCGGAAGATAATGTGAAGGACTTGTCCAGTGACTTGCAGGTAAGCATCTCAATTTTTGGCTACCTATCAGTTCGATATCACTGTGATTTTTCCTTTAAGATAATTTGTTGCTTTATTTCATTATTGGAGAATAATGAATTTATAAGTGTAGCTTATTATTTAAGATTAAAAAAAAAAAACTCATTGTAATTATACTGTTTTGTAGAAGCTGACAGATGATTATATAAAGAAGGTTGATGTGATCTACAAACAGAAGGAAAAGGTAATATGTCTTTACTCGCTTGTTAAGTTTTTCTATGGGTTATATTAAAGATGGTAGATTAATGAGATGCTTAAACAGAGATTATACTCATCACAAAAAGCCATTTTACCAAGGCCTATTTTGAATTAAAATGAGTTAATAGTTAAAAAAAGTTTTCATGAGCTCATATAGTTTATACAGATAAGTTAAATGAGAAATAGGACTCCTTAAATTTTTGAAAGCACTGTGTAGGTTATATATATATATATATATATGGTTCAACCGTGGCTAACGAATGGGACCCTATTTTTCCACAATTTAGTGACAAATATTTTATGAGGTCCAACGTAGCCTGAGTTTAAAAGTGGAAAATTTTAGAGTATGTGTGATAGCTTGTTTTCACACCCTCAAAAACGGCTCCGAGAAAGATTCTAAAAATAGCTTGAGGCACGAGTTTATAACTAATTGCTTCTATGATGATCAAATTATGCATATGATTGTATTATAACTAGTCAACACTATTAGCTTTTGTAGATATATATATTTAAGGTTTGACAAGTAACTTGTCCCTATCTTTCAGGAGTTGCTGACAGTTTGATCCATTGACACAAAAAAAGTAATTGTGTTTGAGTTCTATTTTAAGATCAAAATTTGTGTCTACTTTGCTAAGTTTGATCGGTGATGCATATGGTTATTTGTTATAGAGAAACAACTTTTTTTCTTCTGTTAAATAGATGTTTTTTCAAATTGAAAAAGCGAGTTCATGCATGTAAATTTGGATTTCTTTACAATTGCATCATTGAAGCTTAAATAATAGATATGTTACAAAAAAGTTTTGGAGTGATTAAGCAAGATCTTAAATTAAAATTTGGAGATTACCTTCCTTTTGACTCATAAAATTGGTATTTTGTACCTACCATTGTATATATACCAACCATGACATAACTAGTTTATATATGTGTTGTAATGTACATAAATTTTAATTTGTTTTTGGCAAAAGGAGTATAGATTGTGACACCTTTTTTTTTTAATATATAATGTGACATGTTTGTTAGGATTATAATTTTAAGAAAAAACTAGTTTTGAGTATTATTGATTTTTAAGAATGGTATTTATTCATGTTTTAAATCTCATTAAAAAGGGACAAGTTGATGTGTTTTTGAAGAACATGGTGGATCCAATTACAAAAGAAAAACATTGTAAAACTAAAATGTTTAATACCAGAATAAATGGCCTTAAATAAAAATATATTTGTCAAAAAAAATGTAAACAAATCACAAGAACAAGACACAAACACAATTTATTACTTTAGGAGAAGAACAACTCTTTCATATTATGTATCAAGAATTGTAATAAGTATTGCTATAAAAGATTACACTAGGATTTTAAAAATTTACATCTTTTATTGTAAATTTATTACTTTAGTTCGTAATAACATCTTTTATTTTTTATTCAAGAGTTTTTCAATTTCTCTTGTGTTTAAAATATGAATCAAATAAATTAAAAGGATTCAAGTGTTTTTCGGTCCTTTTAGACATCACAAAAGTTTTCCTATTTTTAAAACAATAAATCATAAGTATTATTCCATTTCTTTAAGTATCTCTTACTATGATTTTACCTCTCCATTTTCATACTCAAAATTAGGGGTGTTTAAAATCGAACCCATCAAATAGAAAATCGTTAACCGAATTGAATCAAATCAAAAACTAAAAAAAAAAAAAACGCATTTGATTTAAATGGGTTTGGGCCATATTCTAACTAAACTGCGTTGTTGATTTAGTTTGCAGTTTGTATTTTTCAAATCAAACTAAATTGAACAAAATTGCATCATGTTACAAAATCTTACTCACTATTATATATTTTTTAATTCTTTAGAGAAGTTAACATATATGTATATATTTTATCACACTTTTTGTATGATATTTATTTTAATATACATATCAATAAAAAAATAAAATTTTATTTATATATATATATATATATATATATATATATATATATATATATATATATATATATATATATATATATATATATATATATATATATATATATGTATATATATATAATTTGTTGATATTGATAACGATAAGATTAAAAGAAAGTTTAAAATTTACATTACTTTTGTATCCATTTATATATAAAATATTAATAGTATTTCAAATTTATTTATGAATGCAATTTAATATATTTCATTTAGATATAAGATAAAATTGTAATACACAATTCATATTTATGCATCAAATTATAAATTTAATTTGTCAACTATAAATTTATTTTATGATAGTGTATGAATGACTAACATAAAATTATGTTTCTCTTTATATTTATGTATGCCTTAATAAAAATCTTATAAACAATCGAAGCAGCATAATCAATCTAAATCACATTAGTTTGATTTGGTTTTATTTTTAAAAGTCAATCAAATCAAACTAAACTGCATATTTTTTTCTCTTACGGTGCGAATGACTTTTAGCACCGAAATTGCACAAACTACATCGCAAACACCCCTACCCAAAATGCATTTATAGGAAAAACCCAATGTGTTTCTAAATATATTGAACAACTTCACTATGTTCCTCCTAAGACTATGTTCTTCCCAAGACGTATTGTGTTTATGTAACGCACAATGTTTATTTTAAACGCAACGCGTTTTAGCGAATCTTCTAAAGAGAATTTTGAAGTCTATTCGCATCTCGTTTATTCTCTGAGACTTGAATCACTCTTCAACGAAATTGATCAAATTTAGACAATACTCAAACATTGATCTAAGAGTTATTTGGAGAACACATATGTTAGATTCTCTTTCGAAGCTACCTTGTTAACCATAATCTTTTTTACTTGATATGTCAAATTTAACCTTTAAATTTGGATTATAAATAGAAAAAATAAATATTTTTTTAGCTAACGAATGACCAGAGTGTTTATGTTCTCGAATTATCATATCAAAATTTCAAATATGTTCATATTCAAAATAGTTTAAGAATATATTTAGCGAACACATGTTTCATTGTAGAGAGTTCCGATGCTTTAAATACTAACATGAGTCTGTTAGAGAAGTCATGTTTGATATATTTTGATGTGCTGAAGTATATGTGATGAAAAAGGTGTTTGTGAATTTTTTGATTGACCCACTTTAGAGGAGATCAGCGCTTAGGCCATCATATGTTATGGTGTACGGATGGGTATGAAGGAAACATGTCTCTGTAGACTTAATTGAAGTTTCTCCAATGGTGGAATTGAGGGTTGGTGGTTTTACTGTGGGACAGACAACTCTCAAAGGTGCTTCAAGTAAAGTGGTCAAACATGAGAAGACGTGTTCAGAAAATAAACATGTGTTTATACCATTTGCCTATGACATTTTTGATTTCCTAACAACAAAAGCAGTTGATCCTTTACAGAGAGTTCAAAGATTTATGAAGGGCAACGTTGTATCTCCTAAATCTATGAATGTACTTTTTAAGATGATTAATTTTGCGATTAAAAAAGGAGTAGTGGCGCAACTTTTTACCTATTTGCCTTTTATTTATGTAAATTTTATTATTGAAATTTACATTAGTTTCAAATTATATATATATATATATATATATATATATATATATATATATATATATATATATATATATATATATATATATATATATATATATATATATATATATATATATATATATATATATATATATAGTGAAAGCGATGTCTAAGAAATAGAGTATAATTGGTTTCTTTATTAGCAAGAAAACTACAAAGTAACAAAAAAGAAAAAAGAAAAAGAGAAAGACAATTCAAAGTGGTATAAAAACCGGATTCTTGATTCAATTTCACATTAAGTAACAATATTTACAGTTGAATCTCAATCACGCCACTTTCTCCCTCTAATTAGGATCATCAGAGATTGATTAAAAAAATGATGACTAGTAAACTATTTATAAGAAAATTGTTCTGGACTGGGCCCAGGCCTGCCCATCCGTTGAGCAGACCCAACCCATCAGTCGGACAGGCCCAGCCCAACGCTATTTGGGGAAGGCCTAAATAGGCCCAAACCACTCAGTTTCGGGCACAGTCACCTACGTCAGGAGGAACCACACGTCTTCCACACGTTCTCCACGTGTCCCCTCCGCGGGGACACGTCATCAGTCAACTACCCACCTCCGAAAGAGCTGGTCAGCCCATCTTACGGAGATCACGGGACGGTTGAACTAGGGAGAAGACCACGTGCTGGTATTCACTATGCCACGTAAGCCCTAGCAGTCACTTGGGTTGGGCCTGGAAATCCAGCCCAACACAAGTGGCTGTTAGCCCTGCGCTGGGGTCTCACTATAAATACCCTCTTTCACTAGAAGGTCAAGTATTCACTTCTTAACCTCTTCTCTGTATTTTCTCTCACTCTGTTCCATTACTCACTTTGGCATCGAAGCGTCTTGCAGGTACACCCCCTCCTCCTCTCTACTTCCGGTGAACAACTCTAAGATTGACGACATGTGGCAGGTGACTGACTCCCTTCTGATCAGGTAAGATCAGTGGCGCCGTTTGTGGGAACTAAGCTTCCTCGTTCCTCCGAGCAGAGAACCAAAGTTTCCTATTTTTAAATTCTAAGATCATGACTAGCCCACGTCACGATGACACTATCCACAACTCCGTCCTCGTCCCAATCACCAACGGTGACGACCAGGTGGGGACCTCCCACTCCCGCGAGGGCTACACTAGGGATGGCCAGACTGCCTTTCCCTCGTCCGAGGACGCGGGGCAGTACGTTGCCCCTCGGGAAAGGAGCCCGATTGTTTTCCAGCCCGTTCCTACGCCAGCCGGAGCGGACCCAACAATGACTACCCTCTTCGCAACCATTAACCAAACAAACCTGATGTTGTTCCAACAAAATAAGCGCATCGGGGCACTGGAACAGGATACCTCGTCCCGCTCTCCCCTAAGGAGAAATCAGCGCGGGAACTTTCGGAGCCCCTCTCCTTATCCACAGCTGGAGAGGCCCCAAACAGTGGCCTCAAAGAAATGCACTAGATCACCCCCAGAAAGAGAGGCGCTCCCCGGAGCCAAGAGCGAACAAGCCTGAAGCCCTGGCCAGAAGACCGAGGGGACGTAATCCGCCTCCTCGGCACGACCCGTCGCCTCCGCACTTCCCTGTCCATAGTGACGAAGACGACTATAGGATCCCCTATCACGGGAGATCATGGCAACCCCCATCCCCCACGGGATGGAGAAGCCGCTCGTACTCTCCACGTACGACAGTACCTCAGACCCGGGCAACCACCTAGAAGACATCGAGGCTATGCTCGACTACAGAAACTTCCGGGGATCCATCAAGTGCAGGCTCTTCCCGACGACGTTGAGGAAAGGGGCCATGTCTTGGTACAAAAGCTTGGAGCCTGAGTTCGTCACATCCTGTAGGGTCCTAAAGGATCTTTTTTCACAACATTTCACGGCATCGCGACGACACCCGAAGACGGAGGCCGCCCTGGGCGCAATCATTCAAACCCTGGATGAACCACTCAGAAACTACATTGAGAGGTTCATGAGGGAAGTAGTCCAGGTGACGACCTTGGACGACGTGAAACGCTATCTTATGGAGCAAGGCCTACGCCG